CCCCAAGCCCCTCTGCCGTGGGGCTGTACCCAGGGGCAGGATGCAGCCAGGCCCGCAGGGAGGAAATAACGTTGCTGTAACAGTTCATGGCCCAGACAGAGGTTTCCTGGAGGCTCCTGGGCATTACTCACCCACCTGCATCCCCCCCTGCTTCAGCAGAGCCGGGACACCACGAAGGTTTGGGAGCTGCTTGAGATGAGGCCACGTGGTAGGATCTCAAACACGTGTGGCTGTGCCCCGTGGCTGGCACCTGGAGGGACCGATGCCAGTGAGTCCCAGCTCAGCACTCCCCAAGATGCCCGAAACCCCTCGGGGAGCCCCACGGCAGCAATGGGCAACCGGGGACCGTGGGTGGCCCACAGCAGTGAGCCCATCAAGCACAAGAGCTGCTCAGGAACTGGGTGGGAGGGACTGGAGGCCATGGAAACCAGATTTTCCCGTGTAAGGAGATATCCCGTCCAACCCTCCTCTCCTCCTCCCCGCCAGAGGCAGACGCCTTGCAGCCATTGAACCCTTTCATCACACAGCCAAGGTCGAGGGAGGTGGTGGTGCTCCCAGGCTGGGAAAGCCAGATTCCAGGGGAAAATGTGCCAGAAAAAGGGGCGCCCGGGAGGGCGATGGGCCCAGGGAGGTCTGCGGCACTGGGACCACTGGGGCAAGCGGAGCCGCTCCAGCTGGGGAGCATCTGGGCTGGACAGGTCCAGCAGCGGTGCAGGGAAGGGGAGCGCAGGGGGCTGGAACAGGCAATGGGGGCACGCAGGGCTGATGGCACGTGGGGATGGGGTGACAGACCCCAGAGGACACCCCCCAGCACTACCCAGCCCCCAGAGGAGCAGGGGAGCTCCCAGTGCTGGCCCAGTGTGGTACTGGCTCGTGATGACGTGCAGGAGAGCCACATGGTACCAAGCAGTGTGCGGTGCCCACAGCTTAAACAACACTTATTTATTTGTACCAAAGTCTCAGGGTCCCTCAGGATAAAAGCAAGGACAGGGAAAACCTTCTGGAATAGGCCCTGTGCTGGGCCAGGCATTGGGAACATCCATGGGTCAGCGCCTGTGACGGGGGAGGAGACCCCCCTCCCCTGCTCACCCCCCTCTGCCGGGGGTCCAGAGGGGAGCTGAGCAGCCCCTCATCTGCGGTAACGGTAACGCTTGAAGTGGAACCAGAGCTGGAAGATCCCATTGGCAAACTGGCAGCGGAAGCCGTGGCGGTGGGAGTACTCCCACTCCCGGTTGACGATCTTGAAGGCGATGTCCTCGTAGGGCGGCCCGGCGTGGAAGCGCAGGATGGCAAAGTCCTTGTTGTCCTGGCAGGCCTCCAGGAAGTACTCGGGCGTCGAGCGCTTGTCGATGAGGTCGGGGTAGAAGATGTTGAACTTGTAGCCCTGCACGATCTTGGGCGGCGGGTTGTCGAAGTCGTAGTGGGTCTGGTTGTACTTGTTCCACTCGAAGCCCGTGTGCACCCGGTTGAAGAAACGGGGCTTGCGGGGCCGGTACTTGTCGGCCCAGAGATAGGCTTTGCCCGTCAGGGGCATTTCCACACTGAACTGCGCCTCGTCCGCGCCCATGCCCTCCTTGGCCTTACGGAAGAAGATGTCGTCGGCGCTCTCGGTGGCATCACCTGTAGGGAGAAGAGGTGACGTCCCGTCCTGCAGCGCCAGGGGACTCTGCTCCCAGGCGTGCGGAGGGAAGGAGCAGCAGACGCTGGGCAGGAGACGTGGAGCTGGACACGGAGATGCACGCACTGCCCTGCGCACTCCAGGTGGGCACCGGGCTGAATGGAGCAGGGAAACTCATCCGGAACACCCTTCGTGCTTGTCCGCAGTGCGAACAGCCCGGTGGTGCGGCCAGGAGC